TAGTGGAACATAGATTGCCATTGAAGGAGGGGTTCCGACCTGTAAAGCAAAAACTTAGAAGAATCAAACCCGACTGGTCCCTAATGATTAAGGAGGAGGTACAAAGACAACTAGACGCCAATTTCCTAGTAGTTTCCAAATACCTAGAGTGGTTGGCCAACATAGTGCCCGTCATCAAAAAGACCGGGAAGGTCAGGGTATGTGTGGATTATAGGGACCTCAATCGAGCAAGTCCAAAAGATGACTTTCCCTTACCACATATACACACACTAGTAGACCATACCGCTACCAATACACTTTACTCTTTCATGGACGGGTACGCGGGATATAACCAGATTAAACTGGTTGCCGAGGACAGGGAAAAAACCTCCTTCATTACACCATGGGGCACCTTTTGCTACCGTGTAATGCCTTTTGGACTCAAGAATGCAGGGGCAACTTATCAAAGGGCTATGGTCACAATGTTTCATGACATGATCCACAAGGAAATAGAGGTATATGTGGATGACATGATTACCAAGTCTAGAAATGAGATGGATCACATTCAATATCTTAAGAAGCTTTTTGACAGACTCCGAAAATATCAACTCAAACTAAACCCAGCAAAATGTACTTTCGGAGTACGATCAGGAAAACTATTGGGGTTCATTGTCAGCAAAAGAGGAATTGAAGTGGATCCCGACAAAACCAAGGCAATTTTGGAAATGCCCCCACCAAGTACGGAAAAGGAGGTCAGAGGTTTTCTAAGCCGGATCAACTACATTTCCCATTTCATCGCGCAGTTTACGGATAAATGCATACCCATCTTTAAACTGTTGCGCAAAAATCAACCAACGGTATGGAATGAAGAATGCCAACAAGCGTTCGATAAAATCAAAGCATGCTTAACCAATCCGCCAGTATTGGTACCACCCGTTGAAGGGAGACCTCTAATCCTATACTTATCAATACTCGAAGAGTCCATGGGATGTGTGCTCGGTCAACAAGATGAAACCGGGAAGAAAGAGCGAGCCATTTACTATCTCAGCAAGAAATTCCTAGACTATGAAACCAGTTATACACCATTCGAAAAAACCTGTTGCGCATTGGTCAACCGAAGGGATCGGCTACCATCAAAAGGAGTATCCTGGAGGTGCACATCATAACTTTTCCCCAGAAGATCAACTGCCGCAAGACGGAACATTCGAAGGGTGACCGGGCAAGAGGGTCAACTTCTTTACCTTCCAGTCGTTCTTCTTGGCACAACAGGCCAACAACCGACTGGTCAGGTAAAGGGGGGGCAGCTGTAGACCCATAGTCTTGCCCGGCCTCAAAATAAAGATTAGAAGACCTCCTTTTTGAAGATGGATGAAGCCCAAGAAGCCACTAGGAGAGACTATTAGGCCTCATACTAGGATAGGAGGGATTTTTGGCACCAAAATAAGGATTTTCGCCTTTTAAGGTCGAGACCGCCATCCCAGATTCGGGACCGCCGTCTCGCCTTGCGCAAATGGCGAGACGGCCGTCTCATTTGGCGAGACGGCCGTCTCGCCACTCGCCAACGGCGAGACCGCTGTCTCGTTTGGCGAGACTGCCGTCTCGCCATTCCCGCAAGGCAAGACCGTCGTCTCGACTGGCGAGACCGCCATCTCGACCTTGTCAGACGAGACCGCCGTTTCAACCTGACAGGCACGAATCCCTATAAATAGGGTCCCCATTCCCCTCATTCCACAGAGTTCTTCCTCCTTCTCTCTAGAAATCTGTTCAAAATTCTCTCTCTAGAATCCCTCTGAAGCATTTTCGGAGTTTCTGAGCGTTTCTAAGAGTGTTTCTGAGCGTTTCAAGAGGTTTCCGACACGGTGTAGAGTGAAGGGCTGCCACAAAGCACCCTATTTTCAAAAAGAATTAATAGAAATCTTGCTCCGAAGTTTTCTACTTTCTTCCTGTACCTTTTATCGCTTTATTTAAATTATGTGATAGATACTAGGGCCATGTAGTCATAATCTTTAAATTTCGCAAATAAAAGGGTAAAAGCGTATTTTCAATGGTTTAATCATTTTTAAATAGCTGGCCTATCATAGGGAACTTGAAAGGGGCGTCGTAAAGGAACTAACACTTCCTTTACGCGTAACTAATTCCCTTACCCAACTCTGGTTATAATGACCAAAGTTGGTTTTTCGAAAACCAACGCCTTTTAAAAACCCCTTTTCTGATGTTTCCGGTAAAAACATCGGTGGCGACTCTAGAGAACCCTTCAAAACTAGCTCTTGGATTAGCCTGGTTATCGGACAATCCAAGAGCACCCTTTCGAAAACCTCACCTTTAGGTTTAGCCTGGTTATCGGACAACCTAAAGGCATTGTAACCACACCAATAAAAACGCGAAAAACGGAAAGTCGAAACCATCGCGTCGCTCCGACCGCCTCGTTTTGACGACGCGAAA